AAAAAAACATTCGTTCGCCTATCTTGACTTCTTGAATGCTTAAATGGGTATCATCGCTGAAGCACTTTTGTTTTATTGAGGCGAATTCACCACTGCTTTTATAATTTTGGCCTGCTCACTTGCTAAAAGTCAGGTTGGCTTACATTTATTCAATATTATACTTCTTCCTCTTTCTCCTGTTGCGTTCTCGGCATATAATTCTTGGGATTCACTGCGGTAGTTCGTCTGGACGTCAGTGTCGTTAATGCCATTGAGGCCGGCTAGATCAGACAGGATCACAGTCTTAGCAAGTAAGTAAGTTCTGGTAGTAGCGCTTTCCGCTCTGACTCCAGCCCTTCTCAAGTTGGAACACAACGCCGCCGTGCAATATTGGTGAGTTGTGTGTGATTCAGTTTACAGAGAGACAAAATAATTCAGCACTTGCCACACCTACCACTGTGAATTACCATGCAGAAATAGGTAGAGCTGACTTTTACATCCGCCCACACGGGACATGGGAATGGGAACCGCCCAAAATACATGTGGTTTTGCGCCGAAGTCCAGGGAACTTTGGCTCAGAATTAAACCAACGATAAGGGTTGACTTTGAGGTTATAGTTAAGTTTGGCGGTGGGATCGGGATTATGACAAGGTTGTGGATTCGTGTTCACTGCACGGTTTGGGGGCTTGGGATAGGCCCCAGAGTTAAGGTTAACTTGATAAGAATTTTATTTTCCAGACGTTTCGGATTCTCTCGAGAATCCTTGATCGTAGGTAACCGTGTGAGGCATGCGCAGATTGTGGTGCTTGTCCCGGTCGGCTCTGAGTTCTTTAAGTGCCTTACGTCCGACCTTAGAGAGAACGTTGCTTGGTCTATGGGAAATGGCTCGCCAATATCCGGACTCATTGCCGAGGCGGTTGCTGGTTTTCCGACACCACAGACCGAAATTCTGGGCTATGTATGTGGATGACACCTTCGTCCTAATGGAGCGGGATCAGGTGCTGACATTCGAGGAACGTCTAAACACCGTCTTCCTGGACATTCAATGTACGATGGAGGAAGAAGAAAAGAACCAGCTGGCATTTCTGGATGCCCTCGTTTGCCGCAAAGACGGTGGTGACCTAAAAACTAAAGTCTTCAGGAAAGCAACCAACGCTATACAAGTCCTGAACTTTAACAGCAACCATCCGATCGGTCACAAACGCAG